CTCACCTTGCATCTTTCTCAAACACACTTCTACTAACCTCACCTTGCATCTTTCTCAAACACACTTCTACTAACCTCACCTTGCATCTTTCTCAAACACACTTCTACTAACCTCACCTTGCATCTTTCTCAAACACACTTCTACTAACCTCACCTTGCATCTTTCTCAAACACACTTCTACTAACCTCACCTTGCATCTTTCTCAAACACACTTCTACTCACCTCACCTTGCATCTTTCTCAAACACACTTCTACTAACCTCACCTTGCATCTTTCTCAAACACACTTCTACTAACCTCACCTTGCATCTTTCTCAAACACACTTCTACTCACCTCACCTTGCATCTTTCTCAAACACACTTCTACTAACCTCACCTTGCATCTTTCTCAAACACACTTCTACTAACCTCACCTTGCATCTTTCTCAAACACACTTCTACTAACCTCACCTTGCATCTTTCTCAAACACACTTCTACTAACCTCACCTTGCATCTTTCTCAAACACACTTCAACTAACCTCACCTTGCATCTTTCTCAAACACACTTCTACTAACCTCACCTTGCATCTTTCTCAAACACACTTCTACTAACCTCACCTTGCATCTTTCTCAAACACACTTCAACTAACCTCACCTTGCATCTTTCTCAAACACACTTCTACTCACCTCACCTTGCATCTTTCTCAAACACACTTCTACTAACCTCACCTTGCATCTTTCTCAAACACACTTCTACTAACCTCACCTTGCATCTTTCTCAAACACACTTCTACTAACCTCACCTTGCATCTTTCTCAAACACACTTCTACTAACCTCACCTTGCATCTTTCTCAAACACACTTCTACTAACCTCACCTTGCATCTTTCTCAAACACACTTCTACTAACCTCACCTTGCATCTTTCTCAAACACACTTCTACTAACCTCACCTTGCATCTTTCTCAAACACACTTCTACTAACCTCACCTTGCATCTTTCTCAAACACACTTCTACTAACCTCACCTTGCATCTTTCTCAAACACACTTCAACTAACCTCACCTTGCATCTTTCTCAAACACACTTCTACTCACCTCACCTTGCATCTTTCTCAAACACACTTCTACTAACCTCACCTTGCATCTTTCTCAAACACACTTCAACTAACCTCACCTTGCATCTTTCTCAAACACACTTCTACTCACCTCACCTTGCATCTTTCTCAAACACACTTCTACTAACCTCACCTTGCATCTTTCTCAAACACACTTCTACTAACCTCACCTTGCATCTTTCTCAAACACACTTCTACTAACCTCACCTTGCATCTTTCTCAAACACACTTCTACTAACCTCACCTTGCATCTTTCTCAAACACACTTCTACTAACCTCACCTTGCATCTTTCTCAAACACACTTCTACTAACCTCACCTTGCATCTTTCTCAAACACACTTCTACTAACCTCACCTTGCATCTTTCTCAAACACACTTCTACTAACCTCACCTTGCATCTTTCTCAAACACACTTCTACTAACCTCACCTTGCATCTTTCTCAAACACACTTCTACTAACCTCACCTTGCATCTTTCTCAAACACACTTCTACTAACCTCACCTTGCATCTTTCTCAAACACACTTCTACTAACCTCACCTTGCATCTTTCTCAAACACACTTCAACTAACCTCACCTTGCATCTTTCTCAAACACACTTCTACTCACCTCACCTTGCATCTTTCTCAAACACACTTCTACTAACCTCACCTTGCATCTTTCTCAAACACACTTCAACTAACCTCACCTTGCATCTTTCTCAAACACACTTCTACTCACCTCACCTTGCATCTTTCTCAAACACACTTCTACTAACCTCACCTTGCATCTTTCTCAAACACACTTCTACTAACCTCACCTTGCATCTTTCTCAAACACACTTCTACTAACCTCACCTTGCATCTTTCTCAAACACACTTCTACTAACCTCACCTTGCATCTTTCTCAAACACACTTCTACTAACCTCACCTTGCATCTTTCTCAAACACACTTCTACTAACCTCACCTTGCATCTTTCTCAAACACACTTCTACTAACCTCACCTTGCATCTTTCTCAAACACACTTCAACTAACCTCACCTTGCATCTTTCTCAAACACACTTCTACTCACCTCACCTTGCATCTTTCTCAAACACACTTCTACTAACCTCACCTTGCATCTTTCTCAAACACACTTCTACTAACCTCACCTTGCATCTTTCTCAAACACACTTCTACTAACCTCACCTTGCATCTTTCTCAAACACACTTCTACTAACCTCACCTTGCATCTTTCTCAAACACACTTCTACTAACCTCACCTTGCATCTTTCTCAAACACACTTCTACTAACCTCACCTTGCATCTTTCTCAAACACACTTCTACTAACCTCACCTTGCATCTTTCTCAAACACACTTCTACTCACCTCACCTTGCATCTTTCTCAAACACACTTCTACTAACCTCACCTTGCATCTTTCTCAAACACACTTCTACTAACCTCACCTTGCATCTTTCTCAAACACACTTCTACTAACCTCACCTTGCATCTTTCTCAAACACACTTCTACTAACCTCACCTTGCATCTTTCTCAAACACACTTCTACTAACCTCACCTTGCATCTTTCTCAAACACACTTCTACTAACCTCACCTTGCATCTTTCTCAAACACACTTCTACTAACCTCACCTTGCATCTTTCTCAAACACACTTCTACTAACCTCACCTTGCATCTTTCTCAAACACACTTCTACTAACCTCACCTTGCATCTTTCTCAAACACACTTCTACTAACCTCACCTTGCATCTTTCTCAAACACACTTCTACTAACCTCACCTTGCATCTTTCTCAAACACACTTCTACTAACCTCACCTTGCATCTTTCTCAAACACACTTCTACTAACCTCACCTTGCATCTTTCTCAAACACACTTCTACTAACCTCACCTTGCATCTTTCTCAAACACACTTCTACTAACCTCACCTTGCATCTTTCTCAAACACACTTCTACTAACCTCACCTTGCATCTTTCTCAAACACACTTCTACTAACCTCACCTTGCATCTTTCTCAAACACACTTCTACTAACCTCACCTTGCATCTTTCTCAAACACACTTCTACTAACCTCACCTTGCATCTTTCTCAAACACACTTCTACTAACCTCACCTTGCATCTTTCTCAAACACACTTCTACTAACCTCACCTTGCATCTTTCTCAAACACACTTCTACTCACCTCACCTTGCATCTTTCTCAAACACACTTCTACTAACCTCACCTTGCATCTTTCTCAAACACACTTCTACTCACCTCACCTTGCATCTTTCTCAAACACACTTCTACTCACCTCACCTTGCATCTTTCTCAAACACACTTCTACTCACCTCACCTTGCATCTTTCTCAAACACACTTCTACTCACCTCACCTTGCATCTTTCTCAAACACACTTCTACTCACCTCACCTTGCATCTTTCTCAAACACACTTCTACTCACCTCACCTTGCATCTTTCTCAAACACACTTCTACTCACCTCACCTTGCATCTTTCTCAAACACACTTCTACTCACCTCACCTTGCATCTTTCTCAAACACACTTCTACTCACCTCACCTTGCATCTTTCTCAAACACACTTCTACTCACCTCACCTTGCATCTTTCTCAAACACACTTCTACTCACCTCACCTTGCATCTTTCTCAAACACACTTCTACTCACCTCACCTTGCATCTTTCTCAAACACACTTCTACTCACCTCACCTTGCATCTTTCTCAAACACACTTCTACTCACCTCACCTTGCATCTTTCTCAAACACACTTCTACTAACCTCACCTTGCATCTTTCTCAAACACACTTCTACTAACCTCACCTTGCATCTTTCTCAAACACACTTCTACTAACCTCACCTTGCATCTTTCTCAAACACACTTCTACTCACCTCACCTTGCATCTTTCTCAAACACACTTCTACTCACCTCACCTTGCATCTTTCTCAAACACACTTCTACTAACCTCACCTTGCATCTTTCTCAAACACACTTCTACTAACCTCACCTTGCATCTTTCTCAAACACACTTCTACTAACCTCACCTTGCATCTTTCTCAAACACACTTCTACTAACCTCACCTTGCATCTTTCTCAAACACACTTCTACTAACCTCACCTTGCATCTTTCTCAAACACACTTCTACTAACCTCACCTTGCATCTTTCTCAAACACACTTCTACTAACCTCACCTTGCATCTTTCTCAAACACACTTCTACTCACCTCACCTTGCATCTTTCTCAAACACACTTCTACTAACCTCACCTTGCATCTTTCTCAAACACACTTCTACTAACCTCACCTTGCATCTTTCTCAAACACACTTCTACTAACCTCACCTTGCATCTTTCTCAAACACACTTCTACTAACCTCACCTTGCATCTTTCTCAAACACACTTCTACTAACCTCACCTTGCATCTTTCTCAAACACACTTCTACTAACCTCACCTTGCATCTTTCTCAAACACACTTCTACTAACCTCACCTTGCATCTTTCTCAAACACACTTCTACTAACCTCACCTTGCATCTTTCTCAAACACACTTCTACTAACCTCACCTTGCATCTTTCTCAAACACACTTCTACTCACCTCACCTTGCATCTTTCTCAAACACACTTCTACTAACCTCACCTTGCATCTTTCTCAAACACACTTCTACTAACCTCACCTTGCATCTTTCTCAAACACACTTCTACTAACCTCACCTTGCATCTTTCTCAAACACACTTCTACTAACCTCACCTTGCATCTTTCTCAAACACACTTCTACTAACCTCACCTTGCATCTTTCTCAAACACACTTCTACTAACCTCACCTTGCATCTTTCTCAAACACACTTCTACTAACCTCACCTTGCATCTTTCTCAAACACACTTCTACTCACCTCACCTTGCATCTTTCTCAAACACACTTCTACTAACCTCACCTGAATCATCTTGACTGTTTGTAGAAAGCGGTTGAGGCGGTAGTAGACATGCCAGAAGCCACCGTACCGGAAGAACACCTTTCCGTTGATCACCTGTGTGAGAGAGGAGGACAAACACGAGCAAAGATGAGCAAAGATGAGCAAAGATGAGCAAAGATGAGCGCACTGTTGCTGGGCACAATGCTATTTCTTTGTGACGCATGAGAACAAGAGGGCCACACACAAGTGGTGCCACGAAAATGTAACGCACATTGATATGGCCGGAACATGACATGATACTATCATGATGATAGGCGGCTGCTGAGCCAAGAGTTATTGAATCAATGTTAAGAATACTCAAAAGTGATTCAAGCACAAACATGCAGCGCACCTTGACGTGGCCGGAACACGAGATGACAGCCGGCTGCTGTGCTAAGCATGCTTAAAACAAGCCTCAAATCAAAGGTAATTCAGGCCAAACGCTAATGCACCTTGACATGGCCGGAACACGACATGACAGACGGCTGCCGAGCCAAGCATGCTTAAAACAAGCCTCAAATCAAAGGTAATTCAGGCCAAACCTTAACGCACCTTAACATGGCCGGAACATGACATGACAGACGGCTGCCGAGCCAAGCGGTAGAGAGCCTCGGGAGTGACGAAGCCGGTATGGCCCAAACCAGACTCAATCCCCTGGGTTGGGATGACATGGGATGGGATGGGATGGGATGGGATGGGATGGGATGGGATGGGATGGGATGGGTGAATGGATTGGGATATCATTTCCCTGGAAGCCAAGCAGTAGAGAGCCTCGGGAGTGACGAAGCCAGTATGGCCCAAACCAGATTTAATCCCCTGGGTTGGGATGACATGGGATGGGGATGAATGTTGGAATGGATTGGCATAACATTTTCCCGTACCGGAATGGGATGGGTTGGGATGGGATGGGATGGGATGGGATGGGATGGGATGGGATGGGATGGGATGGGATGGGAGAGTTGGTATGGGCTGCCATGGCTCCTCCAGGTACTATGAAGTAACAACCTGAGCATTTACCTTCCATCTGCACACTTAGCTAAAAGTTTGGATATTTCCCCACCATACTCCTTACAAGCCTCACCGGTATAGGTTGCCAGGGCTCCAGGTACTTATGTATAAGCTTTAGATATTTCCCCACCATAGGCGCGCTTAGGTCAAACTTCCCATACTGCGGAACCCTCCCTAAAACATCAGCTTCCTCTGGGGGAAAATCCGGGAGCGAGGGGCATGTGCCCTGCGGTGCTGCTAGCAACTGCACTTCGTCTTGCAACCACAGTGCCGCCCATAGCGCCAGTGCCACTAGGCCCGCTGTTAGGACTGTTATCGCGTCCACCTGTAACGGGGATGCATGGGAGGGGGAAAGGCTGGGGTAAGACCTGTGAAAGCATGGTTGAAATATACTCTAGGGAGTGAAATACCAAGAAGGGGAATCTAGGAGTTAGGAGAAAAAAAACAACAAAAAAAAAACTATAAAGTGCAGGGAGCGGAATCAAATTGGAATGCAATGTAGGAAGTAGAATAAACGGAATCTAGAGGGCACATTCAGCCCTCTTTTTCTACGAGTATAATTGCACCTGCCTGGTCGCGTGAAAGCCGCGATAATCGCACGGCGACGGTCGCCCGCACGCGCTGCAGATGCCCTGCTACTGCTGCGACTGTCGCGCGCGCGCGCGACGACAAAACGGCACCCGAAGCGAAACCGAACGCTCTCGCACCCGACGTTTCGCGAGCGTCGTCAGAGTCGTCGTGATCGGGTGGCGACGAGGAGTAATAGGCGTGGTGAGTCTGTAAAACGCTGCGTGGGTTACTAAGATTGGAGGAAGGTAAGTTGCGAGGGTTGCTACCACTGCTGTTTGGGACGAACGGGGACGGGGACGACGAGGCTACTGGCGAATGCTTTCTTTCGTGAAGCTGACCCGAACCCTTGTAACCCGCGGGACGCGACATTTGGCGAGGAGACAGCGAAACCGACGGCGAACTGTAAGGATGTTACCAGGCGCGGATTGCTGGCGCTGCCAGCAGCACTGTGTTGAAATTAGCTCGAACTATTTTACAGGCCAGGGAAGCGTGGTACACAGGCGCGTGAATCACGGCGGTAAAAGCCGCGGTAAGTAGGTGGTGTGGAAATGAGCGGCTCATTCCCACCACGAACATTGCTTTAGGAGACTGAATATCAGAACAGTTGAGCAGGTTCCGCAGAGGTGGCGCACTGCGTAGAGGGTGAAACTACTTCCCTGATTGCGTGTGGTGCAAGTCGGTTTATGGTAAGGTTTGCGCGGTTTCGCTCATCGAACCTCGGTTTCTCCTTTGTTTTGCGTGCTGCACTCTGGTTTAAATCAACATTAAAGCGGTTCCGCTTGTCAGGAGTTTGCAGTTGCCATCACCCAATGATTGATTAGGGCGTGTAAATTTGTAATGACCAAACGATGGGTCGCACATCTGGGCGCTTCTGGCGATTGCGAGGTATTTTGTACTCACCCCAAATTTGCAGAATCGCTAAGGTATTTTCCGCATAGAAATGTACGAATCGCATTTTGGGGAATTCCTAGACTGACGGGGAGAAAATATTTCTGTGGGCCTAATCCCGCTGCTTTGTTAAACACCCTTGTTTAGGCTTCAGATTCCCCGTATTCCATACCCAGTTCGAATATAGTAGAGGAAATCAAAACTTTCGCTTTTCATTTAGGGGATGGTTTGGGATGGGTGCCCTATATGCTGACGAATCTTGTGGCGGGGTTCGCTTTCGCGTTACAGATTTCGCACTCGCCTGAAACGAGCATATGACTGACCATTTGGTTTGGGCGTTACAATTTTACACGCCCTTATTTGAGGGTCACCTCGCCATCGCAGTTGTCGACATCGTTGCGCGAAAGGTAGCGTCTATATACGAAACCATTGCGAATACGGTGGTGAGCCAACAGTAATACTCGCTCTGTAACTCAACACATTGAGCTTTCGCTCGACCTCGCCACCTGGCGAAATCAATTGTGCATTATTGACTGTCCAATTAGAACGCGGTGGTCAAACAATTGCTGCTAACTCTTCGCAAAACCCTCCCCCCTCCCATTTCATGCCATCCCAAGCAGCAACCAACCAACATCCCTCGATGATGCAAGGCATGTCCCAGAAGTTCATCATCGCTCTAAAACCTACCCAGCCGATCTTTATATCAAATCACTCGTTCCGAGAGTGCAAGCATTGACGTTGATCCCTGCGAACATCTAGATCTCACTTCCCTAGGTTCTGCAATAAAGCAAGAAACTCTGCTCAATTTCGACCAGCATTGTCTGCATAGTAGTTTTTCCTTTTGGCTCTGGTCCTCTAGTCTAGTTTGTTGCCAAGTTTGTAGTACACGCTATGCAAATGGCCGTAGAGGGCGTAATCTCGCTGCGTAGCTAGATCGAGAGTAACATTCAATGCGTTTTTTTTTTTTTTGCTTTCTCAGATGCCATTTTCACGGCCCACTGGCAGTGGGAGTGGTGGTTGGGAGGGTTTGCGTAACTTTGGCCTGCTGTACACATCGCTGACCATCGTACGACCAGCACCTGGGGGCTTCGTACTGCCGCATTACCGTTTCGTAAGCGTTGTTAAATCACCTTTTCCTAAATTCTGCATCATCGCAGATCTGCCCGAAAAAGTTCGTTGCCACTGGAACTTCAGCTGGAATCTTTGACCAGGGTTCAGACTGACCAGGTTGAACCGGAACACGTGGGAGCCACGTTGCGGGATTAACAATTGATTCCGTTCCGCGTGGCACGACGCACTCCGCACGGTCGTAAATAGTCGTACGGTTGATGCGACGACTAGCTACGTGGCAGATCGGAGCTGACGGAGATAGCTCAGCAGCTCGGCAACTTCAAGGCGTTTCAAGAAAAGAGGTCCCAAGGGGTCGGTCAGTTGCTCCGCAGGCTCGAGGCGTCTCACGGATAGCAAACCGAAGAAAATGGCTCAGCTGCTCGGCATTCTCAAGACGGCTGACGAATAGCGAGCACGAGGATGCGGCTCATCTGCTCGGCGCATCTCATCTGCTCAGCGCAGGCAAGCTGAAGGAGACAGCTCAGGTGCTCGGCATTCTCAAGACGGCTCACGAATAACGAGCACGAGGATGCGGCTCATCTGCTCGGCGCAACTCAGCTGATCGGCGCAACTCAGCTGATCGGCGCAACTCAGCTGCTCGGCGCAACTCAGCTGCTCGGCGCAACTCATCTGCTCGGCGCAACTCAGCTGATCGGCGCAACTCATCTGCTTGGCGCAACTCAGCTGCTGCTTCAGGAGCGAGCCATGGCATTTCAGGTACGGTTCGTGGGGCGTGCATTTCAGGTCCGATCTTGTACTGAGCGGTATGCGGATCAGTTTGTATGCGACAGAGCGATCGTAGCCGTATTTCTGAAACCAAAACCAGCTCAATGTGTTCTGCGCCTAACCAAACTAAAGTTCCTCTGCTCGCAGGAGGACGTACGAAATGCCCAAGAATCGTTCATGCCTCCTGCCTTCAGCCCACCCGATCTAGGTAATTATGCCTCGGGTGTATCCGTGTTATTCAATGGAACGTGTCAATTTGTAATCTCCTTCTAAGTCACTTTTGTGCACCGTACCTACGTACCGAGTTTGGATCTACGGGATGCTTCATCAGAATGTGTTTGTGGATGGATGCATGTATGTATGGGGCATCTACCTACTTCGAGACAGAGCGTAACTTGACCTATTTAATTGCCTTGGCCTGGCCTATTTCACTGAGGCAAGGCGTGCCTTGGCCTGGCCTATTTCACTGAGGCAAGGCGTGCCTTGGCCTGGCCTATTTCACTGAGGCAAGGCGTGCCTTGGCCTGGCCTAGCCTATTTCACTGGGGCAATACTCGCGTTCCTTGCGACCGAGACAAGCGACGCTTGCTCGCCGATGAGGGGGAGGTGATGGTGCAGTAAAAGGTCTGACTCAGCCGTGCGCCTTGCTCGTGCCTCCCGGCGGTTCCCTTCTTGGGGGACGTCTTTCGCAGTACGCTCTACCTTTAGGGGTGGGGTATCCTGTGATTGATTGGCTGATGGCGGCAGACAAATCACGTGTGCTCTGATTTCAAAACCCTCTTCTGATCCCTCTCTATCTCGCGTGCTTGATAGACCAAGGTTTTCCAGGAAGACTGCTGTGTCTTTCTTTCGCAGTGCGCTCTACCTGTACGGGTGGGGTGTCCTGTGATTGATTGGCTGATGGCGGCAGACAAACCGCACGTGCTCTGATATCAAAGCCCTCTTCTGATCCCTCTCTTTCACTCTCTCGTGGATTATTCAAGACTCTTTCCAGCAATAGTGCCGTTCACTCTTTGCCGCTCTTTTCCACGTCGCTCCACTCCTTTCCCTCTACGGCGCGCAGTGCGTCCTTATAACGAGATTCGGGTTTAAGAGGGAGATGATGAGGCTTCTGTGATATCTGAGCATGCATGGTCGTCTCCTCTGCCTCCTGTCCAATCATCAGAGCGCAGCAGGCAGAGGGGTTCAAGGGAGGGGGGAGGGGCGCAGGGGGGGAGAACGGGAAGAAATTCTCGTTCAATCTCTCCCTCTCACGCTCTTCTTTCTCTTCTCTTAGGTCTCGCTGTCTCTGCCTCTGCTCTGATTGGCTGGTGGTTGCGAGTGGGAGTCCGGTGCGCGCTGTGATTGGCAATCACTCCACCCCTTCCTGATCCCTCCAGCCCATAGTCTCAAGGCTCTTTAAAAAAAATGCACGTTCTTGCTCCGATGTCATGGTTTTCTTTTTATTATGAGTTGATTTTTTTTGCGACTGTATGATTGAATGGATGACTGAATGAATGCATTACCCAATCACATTATAATTATTGGTCTTTTGACACCAACACTGGCCGTGTCTGCAGCCGCTTTTCCTTCTTTTTCAGTTCTTATCACCAAACAGTCGAGGCAATAGCATGTCACAAAAGCTAGCTGGAGAATTGGGCTTCAGAATTGAGCTTCGGAATTGAGCTTCAGAATTGAGCTTCAGAAATGACCTTTCGAGGGAAATGATGGAAATCTCCTCCATCCGTCTGAGTCATGCACGGGCCTTCCCCGCTGCCTCCTGTTCATTCAGCAGCACGCGGCAGGCAAAGGGGTCCAGGGGAGGGGAGAGGGGCGCAGGGAGAAGAGGACAGGAAGAATTTCCTCGTTTGATCACTCTCCCAGGCGCTCCTTCCTCTTTTTTTGAGTCTTGCTGTCTCTGCCTCTGCTCTGATTGGCTGGCGGTGGTGAATGGAAGCCGATGCCTGCTGTGATTGGCTATAACTCCATCCCCCCCCTGATCCCTCTAGCCCATAATCGAAAGGGTGCGTTTTAGATTAACGCATGTTCCTGAGCTTAGATTATTGGTTCATCAGTGGTTACCCGTTTTGAACTTGGTCCATTGCCCTCCTCTTTTTTCGCCCCCTTTCATTTCGCCCACCCCTCTGCCGTCGTAACAGATTATTCGTCTTTAAAGTTCTCCTTGGGACTTTGGTCCGTTTCCTATCTGTATATGCACATGCATAGAATTTATTCTTCTTGATGTCTATTGACTGAGGCAATGCAAAGCTTGTTCTCTTCCCCCTTGCGCATTTGCTCACCTTCCTGCTGTGACATTTGAGTTGTCTCTCTCAAGTTCTGTTCACCTTCGGATTTAAATTCTGTACATGCACTCATGTTCAATCCTCTTACCCAACGCCCCCCTCATTCTCTCTTTTCCCTCGCGCTTCTGTCAGTGCGCCTCAAAAGCGCATGAGAGATTCTTTCATACGTGAGAATGAATAGCCAGTTAGATGAATCTACCATTCAATGGCAGAGGGGAATGATGAAAGCTACTTATTCTGACCATCACTGGCCGTGTTTGCAGCCACGTCTCCAAGCAGACAGGAGCAGCAGGCAGTGGGCTTCAGGTGATGGAGAAAGGGGGCGTGGGAGGGAACGGGAAGTATTTTTCTCGTTCAATCTCTC